GGTGTTGAGAATATTTGGACCGAAGAGAGATGAAGTGACGGGAGGTTGGAGAAAACTGCATAATGAGGAACTTCATAACTTGTACTCTTCTCCAAGTATAATTAGAATGATCAAGTCAAGGAGGATGAGGGGGGAAGGTCATGTAGCACGAATGGGGGAGACGAGAAATGCATATAGGACATTGGTGGGAAAGCCAGAAGGAAGGAGACCACTGGGAAGACCAAGGCGTAGGTGGGTGGACAATATTAGAATGAATCTTAGAGAGATAGTATGGGATGGTATGGATTGGATAGATCTGGCTCAGGATAGGGACCAGTGGAGAGCTCTTGTGAACACGGTAATGAACATTCTGGTTCCATAAAATGCTGGGAAATTCTTGAGTAGCTGCAGAATTGGCGTCTCCTCCAGAAGGGCTCAGCTTCATGAGTAAGTAAATGTACAATATAATACAGTTGATGAAGGACTCTGATTGTCACACGACTGCACACGACAGTTAGTCTACTCCAGCAAATCCTTGTGATCCTTCAATAGCTTCGACGAGCTTATCACGTAGTTGCTGGTAAGGAGGCAAATGCAACCTATTGATGCACGTATGGGCACGTGGATAATTTTCTGGCAGACCCCATTTCTGTAGGTAAAAAGCTGAGGCCCATTGTTGCCATATAGTTCTGTAAACCCATTCATAAGAACACGAGAAGTTCCTGTTTCAAACTGCAGGAGTCTTGCTTGCATCTCATTATTAAATGACATGACAACCGCCCAAAACCACTGCACAGTAATATGATAGGGATCATAGGTGCCTTTAAACATCATATTTTTCTTCCAGTCGTTGACATCAATATTCTGTATGCCACACATCAGTAGTTCAAGCTCATGTTCATCAAATATCTTGACGTACTTAAGGGGCACAAGGCCACAAAAACCTTGAAGAAATGCATTCATCTGATCTTGTACTCGTGAAACAAACCGCCAATGGATAATCAAGCTTATATATTCGTCCTTATTCTCATTTGTAAGTGGAATGTTTGCACCATCTGGTTTCAGTTCCCACTGTGAAAAGTAACCAAAGCTCTCTTCATCCAAACAGAAACTAAGTTCAAGTTTTGAAGGATCACTCTCCTTGATCCAAAGTAAAGAGTTGTAATATTCTGAATCAACACTTTCCATATCTTTTAGAACAATTGGCTTGCCCAACATCATCTTGTAAAATGGACGGATGATAAAAGCATCCAGCAGTTTACGATGATAAACAGCCATCTCAGCAATCCGACCAATAAACTTGAAATAATTGAGGTGTTCTTCATTGTACAACCCGGAGAATGGATTAATCTTAAGGGTGTAGTTATCCATAGCAGAATATTCAAATAAACCATAGTACGGATTAAACATCTCCTTGGACACCAGAAGGAGCCATTCGCGAGCCAATCCACCATAGTCCAAGCCCACTTCACCATCCAACTCGACCCATAACTTGGTTTTTAAGAGCTCCATTCGGTTCACACTACTGATGATTCTATATGAATCTTGCAGAATACAGTCTTCTTACCTTGATCTCAAACTTATTTGGTACATTGATTGGTTTCTTTAATTTAGATTTCAAATATTCATACTTCCTCTTGTAGTCACGAGAGCATGGCACTGCTGGACCACCAGTCTGTGGGTTTGACAATCTTGGATCCTTCCGCTGAGTTTTCCTGGTATTATGATCAATAAAAAATATTCTTCCATCCTTATGAACCCGTTCTTCCCATCCCTCTGGCAGAGTCCCTTATTAATTTTCAGGCCGTCGTTTAGGCGGATGGTTTTGGTTTGGCATGGGGCTGGTATGTCCTATGTGAGGATCTACCCATGTTATAGCCCTTTCGTTGTGATCAATGAAAAAAACACGACCACTGGGTGCTACTTGCATTATCCATCCCTGAGGTAGTCCTTCAGAGTTCATATCCAGTGAGGTCGGTGCTCGGGACTCAGATGTGGATAAAGTTTCTGCTTCATGGTGGGACTGATCAGGACTTTCTGTAATATCACCAGCCTGATGAACTGCTGAGTTACTTTCTCTTCTATTAGCTTCAATGTCATCTACACTAATGTGGAACCGTTTATGAAATTCTGTAACTGCAGATTCTAGACTACGCACAAGGACTTCATCATCATTGTTAAAGGAAGGCATTTCCCACTGAGTAGAACGGGCAATATGGTGGCAGAGGTGGCAAATGTAGCAGACTCCACATTTGGCATGACGGGTTCATCAACAATCTCCCAGTCAGGATCTGACTCCTGTCGTGATCTCAGAACCTCTTCACCAGGCCTCATTATCTCTCCTCCTCCTGCTGGCTCTCCTATAAAAGCATGGTACAACTCCAGGTGACCTTACACTCGAGATCTGGCACTGCGAGGGCGGAGAATATACTGCTTGGATGGTATAGTTCTTCCTTCTTGCTCCTTAGGCAGATTAAGAAGATTTAACTCCACCATTCACAAGAAATCATCACGAGTAAGCCGGTTTTTATCGAAAACTTGTAATACAAGCTTATGTTCTGTTGGTTTCACACAAAATATAAACTCTTCATCCCACTTGGGGTTCAGGGTAATTTTCTTCTTTTTTCTGAGAACTGAATCAACAGTTACATCGCCATTAATTTTACTGAGGTCTGTCCTTACATAAGGATCACTGGTTCCAAATATGTTTTTCTTTGATAGTTCATGACCTGCTATAACTCTCAATCTCATTGTACTTGTTATTTCCTCCATCTTTTTTAGCAAATGCCTATTTTTGGAACTTCAACTTGACTCGAACGGGAACTGAAAAACTGTCTAGTCAAAGTCAAAGTCACATTACGACTGACGGTCAGTCAAGTTTGTCTGTCTTGGTGTCGAGCCCCGATTGGGGCTCATGACCAGATGTTTTTTCTTTATATGAAAGTTGCTGTCCTGTTCATTTGGGGCGCCCTCTCTGACGAGAGGTCGGGTCTGTCATTTGTCAGTCATAATCTGTATTAGTAAGTCCATTGTCACTATTTACATATATTTACAAATTTAATCTTAATTCCTATTTCTATGTACAATATATACAAGGCCTCTGTCAATCCAGGCTTATTACAGCAGATTTTGCCCTATTTCTAGTAGTAACTGTCTAGTCCCTTCGAAGCTGAACTTTTATAACCTGGTTTCGGCCGGAATATAATACACCATCTAGGAGCCTTTGATCTCGGCCGCTGTCATGCAACGAATCCTCTACTGTCCTTTCATCTCCGGGGAAACGCATTTGTTGCTTAAGGTATTCCTAAGCAATGACCCAAACAACCTAACGTTACTTCCATTCCTATCCTCCGCCCCCTTCTTCAAGGGTGCTCGTCCCGAGCAGCTCTATGGTCCGTCGTTCGTTGGTCCCGCCATACGATATAGACAGAAGACAGCAAGAACGAGACAATCTTGGGATAGCCGCCGCCAGAGAGAGTTGAGATCCAACCACGGTCAAGGATAGTTGAGACTTCGCATTGGAGTAGAGATAATAATTGTAAGTTGTGTAATTGTGAGCGTCCAATAAAGATTCGCTAAATCCGAGAACCACGTAAAGCTATTTGTCGCGTGACATACCCAACACGTGACAATATATACACACACACACATATATAGTTTTGGTTCTCGAATTAAAGGCAGTACTAGAAGAACCGCCTGGGGCACGCAGTAGCGTAGTTGGTTGAGACACTATGCTACAAGCCGGAAGGTCGCGGGTTCGAGTCCCGATGAGGTGTTTTTTCAATTGACCTAATTCTTCCAACCGCACTATGGCCCTGGGGTCGACTCAGCCTCTAAGAGAAATAAATACCGGGAATCTTCATTGGGGGTAAAGGGCGGCCGACGGGTAACGCTGACAAACTTACTGCCACCTGTGAGCCGATTGTCTAGATAATGTGGGACCCTCAGCATCTTACAACCCTATAGGCCTCCATGGCCTCTTACAGGGATAGCTTTTACTAGAAGAAACGCCGTCTCTAGACATCTGAAATATCAAATGGCAGTAGAATCTAAAGGTGACTGTGAGATTATACTTTTGAAAATATTAACAGCAAGTAACTTTTGAAAAATTGATGGCACTACAGAGATTGATATTATTTGTTCTTGTATTACATTAGCTAATTACCATTCTCACATAAACGTGATCATCTTAGTAGGCCTAATACGTTATGTAATGCTTTCAAAATTCAGTAATTTAAATTTCGGTTTCATGCAAAATAATAATGGCACTGTTATACTCGCGATAATTGTAGTGTGGAACCTAATTTCAAATTTCATCCATCATTTTCTGATATGAAGCGTTGTAGAAGGAATTATGCAGACAAACAATCTTACTGCTGACTGTATTTATTTAATTTGTGGTTTTAGCAGAACAACGAATAAACAGTTCAGAAGCCTTCATCCAAGAAACCTTATGTTCTGTTTCACGGAAGCTGTTCTATAACAATATACACATAAACGTAATTATGATTCTGAAATAATGGAGTTCTTACACTGGGAGATGTAATTTTCCGTCCGTCACCTTCTTCGATAGAATTAAATAGGCCTGCATAAATATTACAGACACTAAATGATTTGTATTCTTGAAATTCGTCATTAATATCATGCCATTGCAGGCTTCCGCACTTCCGGTCTTCAGGAATACCAACATGATGGTGTAAAGTTGTGAGGTATGCTTTCGAATTTTGTATGACGATACAGATTAGAAAAATATACATTTGTTGATTTATCTGTTTATGGTAACATAAAAATATTTTGGCGTGCTTACAAGAACTTAAGAACTATAATAACCCTGTTGGATGGCGACTTATCTGCAGAAGCTACAAAAGATATTAGAATCTATCTGTATTTTCATTCGAAACTCCGAAATAAAACTCCTACTTTGGACTCTGGATGAATGTGATGACATTTCGTGGCCCAATGTCCGAAAACATCTATTTCTGTGTTTCCTGTTGTCACGACGCAGGCTTCTGTAATTCCAGGGTGCACACGAATATCCTGCATCAGCGTAACACCGGGCCCAGAACCGCCCCGGAGGCTTCTACTCCAGTACCTGGATCTGACGGACTGCCATGCCGTGGAGGACGGAGGACTCCGGGTCATCGTAAGGAATTGCCCACAGCTGGCCTATCTCTATTTGAGACGCTGCGTCCAAATTACAGGTGAGGCATGGAGTCAGTCGACAGGCAATTCTGACACGTGGGACTGAACAAAATATGTAGGTGATATTTTTCGATACCCCTCAGCCCCTGAGAGAAATGAGTACCAGGAATCCTCCTGCGTGTAAAGGGCGGCCGGCGCGTAAGCTCACCGCCATCTGCGAGCCGATTGTCTAGAAAATGTGGGAGCCTCGACATCTCACATCCCTATGGGCCTCCAGGGCATGTTACAGGGATAGCTTTACCGTTTTTTTACCTCATCCATTCTAGTTTATTCTCCTAGACATTTGATAAAATATCAGTTAATTATATTCATATCACCGAACCATACATGAGAAAGCTTTCGGTTTTAGATGAAATTGTTCTATCCATAAAACATTATTTTCATGAGCTACCTCTCTCCCCGGGGTTAAAGCGGTAGGAGCGTGAAGCTGACAACTCACCTCCAGTTAGCCCCGAGGTGAAGAAAACGTGGATCTATACATCCACTCCCCCACACGCCTTCATGGCGTAGTGCTTAATTAGTTAAGCACAGGGTCAACTTTACGTTTTACTTCATTGCCACTAGTTATATTATTAAATTTGTAGTCATTTATTACAATTTATACACTCTACGTTGTGAGTTGTTCCTTTGTTACGTCATTTGACTTGCTTTCTTCTTTTTCTATGTACTTCTCTTATACCCTGACACCAGTTCCTGACATGCAACTGATCAACAATTTTCCCATGTTGCCTCTGCAGCCTCTCAGATACCTTACACTAGAACTATCCTTTTCGCATTAACATTCAAATATATGCAGCTATATTTTGTAGACGTATCTGCTAGCATGCGACGTGTTTCTGTGTTGCAGACGCTGGCATAAAATACGTACCAAGTTTCTGCTCAATGCTACGCGAACTGAGTGTATCCGACTGCACCCAAGTAACAGACTTTGGCCTATACGAACTGGCCAAGCTAGGAGCGACACTGCGGTACCTATCAGTGGCAAAGTGCGACCAAGTGTCAGACGCTGGTCTCAAAGTGATCGCCAGGAGATGCTACAAGCTGAGGTACCTTAACGCTCGGGGCTGCGAAGCAGTTAGCGACGATGCCATTACCGTCTTGGCCCGGTCCTGCACTCGACTCCGAGCTCTAGACATTGGTAAATGTGACGTCAGTGATGCAGGACTGAGAGCGCTCGCCGAGAGCTGCCCGAACCTCAAGAAACTGAGCCTCAGGAGCTGTGATCTTGTGACAGATAGAGGCGTACAGTGTATTGCATATTATTGCAGGGGACTACAGCAGCTTAACATTCAAGATTGTCAGATATCCCTCGAAGGTTACAGAGCTGTTAAGAAATACTGTAAACGATGTATCATCGAACATACGAATCCAGGTTTCTTCTAAAGGATACTTCAATCAGTGTTGTGTAACTTTTGCTCCATACACAAATCATGATGCAGCTGTAAATGCATCATCTGTCGTTCTTTTTCACCAGTTTGAAGAGTTTCAATAAAAAGAATCGTGTCAGTTCTAAGACAGGCCTATAAGGGCAGTGTTGTTCCATAGGTTTCATTATAACCCCTTATTGATACTTCCTTACAACAATGTAGGCTTTGTGGTACTCGCAGCAGTGGTTATGAAGAGTTCTGTCGCCCACAGTATAACGCTATGTAGTCTGCTGAAAATCAGCTTTCAATGGACTACATATTATGAATATTCCAGAGGAAAGAAATTTTCTTCCCTCCATATAGTTACCTTTTCATTAGTTGGCACATGGCGGAACAATCCAAACGTTTTGATGTACAAGGTTAGAATCAGCAGAAGTCAATTTGAATGACTGGTCACGCGGTAGGGCACGCCCCACATAAATATACACTCTACTATTTCTGGCATCCCATAGGAAATATGCTTCTGAGTTTCTTTACCTTCAGTTGTCTGTAAATTGGAACATCCACCGTCTTCCAAGTTTAAACATGAAGACAACTGAATTAATTTCAGACAAGAAAGGGATTGACCGGGTCTTCCCTTACACTGTGTGATCCTTTGTGTCCAGTACATTGGTTTTTCAGATTACCCATATGAAATACGTAAATCTATTGTTCACTGTGGCGCTGTAATACTCTGCTCTCTTCTGTAACGTAATTTCTTATTGCTTAGCAGTGCCATCAGCAAAATTTGCACAATCTCAATTAGTCCATTTTGCTCATTCTGTCTCACAAAACCTGTCATATTTTCCGGATATCTTTCCAATAGCTGTCCTCTACTAAAGATAAACTTACAAAAATTTATAGTATCACAAACATATCTGATCACATATATACCAAATTATGTTAAGTCCTGCCTGTAAAAAAAAATCATAAATATGATTGCAGTATCACCGCTTACAGAAAACAACCCCAATACAGTTTCACTACTGTTATCAGTCTCATTTTTATATTGAAGAGACGGCAAAGAATATGGTGGGTGTAGAACTGGTCAACCTTGATGATTTTGCTGTTCACTTAGGGACACACTAAACTTCAGTGTAACAACAGCAATGACCCGAGTTCTCCAAACATCATGCCGATATTTTCATCTTAAACAGTACAGAGGAGCAGAACTTGGCAATGCCGCGCCTCCTTTCCACTGCGGGATAGTATGTTCGTAATATGCCGGTTATGTGATATGAATTACGTGGCCACGGTGACAATATAGTGCATCTCAGCACTACTTCAACAGAGGTGGAGAGCTTTAATTCTCAGATAGTTGGAATGAGACGTAGTTAGGAAGTTCCATAGCACGTCATTAATCTGTGGTGTTGGCCTAATTGCATGTTCACAGTTAACAAGAATTAGTCTCCCGTACATGTGTACGTATAAACTGTGCAATCGAGGAACGTGTATGACACATATCAGTCCAAGAATTTCTTGGTATCGCAAAAATGGTAAAGTGGCTCACTATTTTGTTTAGCGTGTAATTTCATGCAAAGAAATTCGCTTAGGATCTAAGTGGTTTATTTTACATCCCATGCGGTCAGAGACGAAATATAACACTTGGAAGTCATTTAGGAAAGGTAAATTGTGATCCACTTCACTCTAGGTTGGGCTGAAGAGACCACCCACACTGTTTCATGGAAAAACCACTTCCACTTCCGGTTGTAGTGGATCATTTAGATTCAATTTACACCACGTAGATATTCGCTTGCTGCTATCATTGTATTTTCTCAATTTATTCTGCGATCCTGTAGATGGATGCAGCATGCTCCTTCGAATTGTTGACAAACTTCGCCCAGCCTACATGACAGTACACGCCTGAAGACAGTACACTTCATACTCACTGCCGAGAGAACCTAAAATCTTTTCAGAAGTCCTGTTTCCAGGTTCTGCTCTTCTTTCTCAGAGCATTCTGTCTGGCACCCCCTTACTTACTTGCTAACTTATGGAGCTGAGCCCTTCTTGAGGAGAAGCCAGTTCTGCACCTACTGGAGAAATTCCCAGCATCTTACGGAACCCGAAGGTTCATTACCGTGTTCACAAGAGTCCTCCACTGGTTCCTATCCTGAATCAGATCAGTCAAATCCATACCATCCCATTATATCTCTCTAAGATCCATTTTAATACTGTCCACCCACCTATGCCTTGGACTTCCCAGTGGTCTCTTTCCTTCTGGCTTTCCTACCCCATTCGTGCTACATGCCCTGCCCACCCCATCCTCCTTGACTTGATCATTCTAATTATACTTCGAGAAGAGTACAAGTTATGAAGCTCCTCATTATGAAGTTTTCTCCAACCTCCTGTTACTTCATCCCACTTCGGTCCAAATATTCTCCTAACACCCTGTTCTCAAACACCCTCAGACTATGTTCCTCCCTTAATGTGTCTGGCCCCCCTTATTTAGCCAAATTGCCCTTTTTTAACATTGGACATATAAAATCAACTGCTCAAGCACTCATCAAATTTACGTAATATGGCAGTAAAGTTTCCTTAAATATAGCTCAATGCTAATATTTATAACTGTAGTTCTTGTTGTTCTTCGTTCCCATTTTCTTCTCAGTGGTACTTCTGTGGCATGATACATTGTCCCCATGGAAGTGTAGCTTTTAACGCTGCCCTCTCTAAAGCACTGAAAAATAGCCAGTAATTTCTGTATTACACAATTTGTCAGGTCCGCAGGCATCACTAATAAATATAGAATACCATACAGCAATACTCGCTTTGTACATGCTAACTGTTTGTGTGTACAGTTTTCTAAAGGTCAGAAAATAGCAACCTAATTTACAATTTATTTATAAAATATTCTCTCAAGTGACTAGCTGTTCCAATGTCACAACCAAGCTATGGAATTTTAGGGAAAACTCTCCTTAATGATCATTAGTCAGGAGAAGATTCTTATTAGTAAATAAGAGCCATGAATTGCTTCATGTCACTCTGATCCACTACATTTCATTTTGCAGTAAAACCCGCAGTGTCATAGTTTCAGAGTAATTTGAGTCCTGAGGTATGTGTGATAGTGGTTCGTAAAACAACACGAAAGAAGGAAAGGCAATGTTGATTGCACTTCAGAACTTGAAAAGTTTGACTGCCCTGAAATTACTGGACACATAAGTAAAGATCAATTGTAAGTAATATTTGTGAATAATGTTAGTAACTGAGTTGGAACCCTGATATTTTAATATTGTTGTACATAAGTGTGTAATTTTATACAGAAAAAATACCACATGCTTGCCATTTGTTATAATAAAAATATAATAAAAACTTTCACATGTTGTGTTTATTTTAATAGGCTTATATCTCTAGATTCTCTGCCCGGCTTCCCACTAGAGAAATACTTCAAGGCCAAGCATCTATATTGAGAGATTTCTTTGCAGACAAATGATACACACAACTTAACAGACATATAAGTAGCTGCAAAAATTAATTATCAATGTAAACATCAGGCATTATATATACTTAGCATTTTGTTTAAAAATAGGCTATTTTTACAGCTGTTTTCAAATTCCTTTTCAAGCTTTTGACAAATCCTCCATCCGCCCACTAAAATATACCTATAAGCTGCAACTAGAAGTGCAACAAGCAGGATGAATTTTGGCCCTCTCTAAAATGAGGGATAAATTATGATAAGGATGATTTAACGTTCAAAAAATTAAGTGAATGCCGTTTTACAGAGTGAAAGTATGACATAAAGCCATCAACTTATTTTGTACCAGACCACTTAAGTGATTGATCACAGTTCTGTACAAAATGTTAATCCATGTCTGCAGTGTGACTCTTCACTCTTGTACAGAATATGACTCTTCATATGGTCGTCATTGTCAGTAATTGGCTTGGGCCTGCACCTTGATGATGTCACAACCGTCGTTAATTTTCAATGCATAAAAGCAGCACATATCCAAAAATAAATCTGTGAGAATAACAAAGCAGACTGCAGGAAACAACTTAGGTTTATAAGAGGTAAGAATAAAGTTGTCCCTGTACCTAATTAAGCATGACGCCTTGAAGACGTATAATGAACAGGAGGTATAGCTCTATGCATTCTTAACCTCGGCGTTAGAGTAACGTGAATGGTAAGCTTCATGTCCCAACTCCTTTGCATCCTGGAAAATAACTCCTGAAACTCACAGGATAAAAGGCTGGGTAGGTCTCAGAGTAGCTCTGGACATGGTGGCAAAGAGAATATCTCGGACCCAGTCTACTCATTATAGTCATTTGGTTTGATGTCCAACCCAAATACAACATTACATTCAGCATTTCGCACGAACATAAACGAAGACAGCATTCCCATTATGCACTCACTTCACACAATGAAAATAATAGATATTTTTTAATTCTGACTAGCTGTCCAGAGCCTTGACTAAAGATCCAACAATTTGCAAGCCTTAAAAGTAAATTTTAAGTTCAGTTTATGTACATGAAATGAGAATTAAAATTATTCATCAAATGGCACATAAATCTTACGCTGTCTGGACGAACAGGATTGTTATTTTCATCTTGCGTTGCGCAATAACCTATTAGTAGTTCCGAAGGTTTTAGAGTCTTGCACTCGAATTTATGCATGCAAACGTTCGTTTAGGAAGGAAAACAATTTACTCTCAAAGGGAGTTCCGTGAAACTTTGTCGAGTAGTTCAATACTATCTACACTACGCAATGTGTAAATATCACCACTACGCAATGTGTATGTAAGTAACTACACGAAGCAATGTGTATGTAAGTTGCTACACGACCCAATTTGTGTGCATGAATGAATGAATGAATGAATGTATGAGGGGTGGGCCTTCTCGGCCCTTGCACCGCGACCTACAGTGGTCTATTGTGCTTCCCCTTTTAATTATCCCTTCAGCAACCCCGCGCTTCGGATGAAGCGTAGGATTTTGAGTGTGGGGACGTCAAAATAGTCACTTGATTCCATAAAGTAGTGACCCAAGTGACGTAGTCTTAAATAAGCTAATGCCTCACATTCACACAGGATATGTGTGGCTGTTTCGTTTTCTTCCTGACACCTTTCACAAGTGGGACTATCACTTAGTCCCAGTTTGAATAGGTGTCCTTTGAGGTGGCAGTGTCCTGTAATTAGTCCTACCACCCATCGTAGCTGGTTCCTGTTTAATTTCAACAGTTCCTTTGCTCTTTTAATGGAAGGTCCTCGTATGAGTCCCTTCGCTTGCCTGAGTCCAATTAAGGATCCCCAGTATTTCTTGTGTTTCATGTTAGTCCAGTCCCTGATTGCCTGTTTGGCAACTCCTATAGAGATGCTACAGGCTGGTTCAGGTCCTATGAACGGATGTTCAGCTCCAGTCTTAGCTAATTGGTCTGCTGTTTCATTACCAGCAATACCCTCATGCCCCGGCACCCATATCAGTTGTACCCTGTTATGTTTGGCCAGTTCCACAAGGGTTTGGTGGCAAACCCAGGCCAATTTTGAATTGATCTGGTGTTTGTCAAGCGCTTTAAGTGCGACTTGGCTGTCAGTTAGAATGTAGATGTTCCTATTTCTATGGTTCCTATCTAAATTCTCCATGTCTGTAAGTGTGTGTAACTACACGACGCAATGTGTATGTAAGTAACTACACTACTCAATGTGTATGTATCTACACTACGCAATGTGTGTGTAAGTAACTACACTACGAAATGTGTAAGTATCTACACTACGCAATGTATGTGTAAGTAACTGAATTAGGGGACGGGCACAAGACTAACCTTGGACAGGGCTCTTAAAAATTAAAGAGTTTATCCTAAAACGAAATTTCTTTTTCACTTCCTTCTACGAAAAGAATATCGTGAACTTAGTTAAAGAACGTTCAGAAAAAGAAAAATAGTTTAGAGGGGTTCAATGAACCGATGCAAACACCGTTATTCAGCACGCTGTTCAGAATTTGTGAAAAACCTTAAACTCAAGTATAATTATTGTGTCCATGATATGTATGCCGTGTCCGTCTTGTAGTGCACTCTTAACAAGATTTTAGTGTACAAAAATTTATTATAATTGACGAATATCTTTAAATATTTTTTAAATAATTTTACAATGACATAATGGCAAGCAATGCAATAGATTAACGTAAATGGAGCACCTGATGATGGCACTATGTTGCCGAAACATGTTATGAAATAACAGGTGAAACTGAGTGCACTACAAGACGGACACGGCATACATATCATGGACGAAAATCAGTGCAACAGGACGCTAAAATACAACATTATAATTATTGTGTTCTTGGACACAATCCATTGTCCTGTTTTTATTTTGTTTAAAATACAACGTTTCGGAGACTAGATTCTGTATCCGTCTTCAGGCAAAACAATATTAAGTTGGGCCCATTCGACACAGCTAGTCCCTACCTCCGGACACCAGCACCAAACATTTAGATCTTACTTAAACCCAAACTTCGCCGCGCATAGTTCAAGCGGTTAGTCACTGGCTTCCCACCTCGACGGTCCGGGTTCGATCGCGGGTCTGGTCAAGTGGGATTTGTGGTGGACAAAGTAGCGCTGGAGCAGGTTTTCTCCGAGTACTTCGGTTTCCCCTGCCAATCTTCATTCCACCAATTGTTCCACAATCACCCTCACCTATCATCTGGGGATGGTACAATAGGCCTGAAGTGGCCGCAGTACAAGGGACTTAGTTCCACCCCACTAGCAATAAAAAAAATAAACCCAAACATTAATAAACCTTGCCCATCAACAGCTGAGACAACACTAGCTAATATTTTCCCCAGACTGCACACTTCTTGGCATAGTGCTTACCATATGAAGGTTATGTTGCATTGATGGTACCGCTGATAGTCTACCGACCGAATAATGAGATGCAAGAATCCAAGGATGGAAGTGAATATCTCTGTTTGTCCCTTGTTTGTACGAATTTGACTGATAGAATATTAACCTGAATCTGCGTTGTGGGTGGCCAACCCATCGTTCACCATTAACTCACCTTAGGCAATTTATCATGGGTTTATTCTTGGGCGGGAACTTTATATTTCTCTTTCTCCTGAACTATGTGATACAGCATATAAAATTCTTTATTAGATTTATCAGATGCGAAATGGTACCACCATATTGTTTTGGTCAACTCCCTTACGTCCCAT